TAAAATAAATCTAAAAACAAGAACAACACCACAAATCAAATAAAACCTATCTAATAACATCCCCATGGAGTGTGTTTCAGGAGCAGTGCATGGGTACCAACTTTCATCACAGTTAACACCCTGGGCCACCATCCCAGGAACGGCAGCACATATTTTCCCATAAAGATGAATACAGTTCTTCTGATGGTATGAAGAACACATGTTCATTTCATTCACTGGTCTTTCTGACCTAAGACAGCCTCCCTCAAGTCCTCCCACCAACTCCTAGAAGAATGGATTATTCTAAGCAGCCCCAATCACCATGTAGAAGAAGCATGCTTCAAAGATAAAAGCACTATTTTGCTGGGCCAGGTTATCATCTCAGCCGCCAGGCAACTTGTTTCAAGTAGCAATCACTGTCGATAACATAGTAGAATTTGTGATGATGTGTAAGGATGTTTTTCATTAAAATATAAGCACTTATTCTCATCACTATTTTTCACCAAACATCTTTCTTGCAACATCATCTCCCAGAATCTTTTTTGAAACTGAGTTCCTCTCAGCTGAGGGGGATGGGAATCCAGATGTGTCTCACTATCATACTGAGGTGTGAAGGTAGCCATTTATCACCAATGGGATAATGCACAGATGTTTGTGAGCTGTTAAAAAAGGCAACTTTGTGCTGCTTCAATATCATCCTTAACAGAATCATCCTTACACACATCCACTACAGTAGTGTTACTAAGGCAAGACAGAAGAGTTGGACTTATCCTAAAGCCAAACTGTGGTACGGGCTAATTCCTAATATTCTATCAGTGATTTTTAACTGATTCCTGTCAAGAACAAAGGAGAAATAATGAAAGGGAACTGTGGAATCTGGGGAGGACTTGAACATATACCTAACCTGCCAAAGACCCCACCCCATAGGCTAAGACCACACCCCATAGACTAAGACTCCACCCCATGGACTAAGACCCCCACCCCATAGACTAAGACTCTACCCCATAGACTAAGACTCCACTCCATAGACTAAGACACCACCCCATAGACTTAGACTCCACCTCATAGACTAAGACCCCACCACGTAGACTAAGACTCCGCCCCATAGGTTAAGACCCCACCCTGTAGACTAAGACTTTACCCCATAGGCTAAAGCAGAAAACAACTAATGGGAAAAGCAAGCTTCATTCAACATTTTGCTCAAGCACCAATTTACAGGAAAATATTATTTTCATCTACCTTCTCATGGTTTCTAGAACTACACAATGCAAGGTGAGCCATGGGCCCCTCCATGACGTTTATAGTTCTGGGGAGATTCTGGGGAAAGATGGCATCTTTTAACAGTCTAAAGAATTGCCAGTTTCACTTGAAGAAAACTGCATTAAGTAAGCCGCCCTTGCACAGCCAGTATACAGAACTAACTCTAAGCAGGAAAATGTAAAGGTAGGTGATTGCAATAGCTTGTGTTGAGGTGGTGAAGGTGAACATCATTGACACTGAGCCAATCAAAGGTCAATGTCTAACAAATATTAACGACTCACATAAAGTTCAGCATCTTTATGGGAGTGCGGATTGGATGAACATTCATGTCACGTCTAACTTTCGGCCAGGCATTGCTTGAATTAATTTTTTTTTTAAGTCCATTTGACAACAGGCTAGGGTTGAAGGAAACCATGTTCATGGTACTTCCAAGGTGAAAATGAAAAATTCTGATAAAACTCACAGCCTTGAGAAGAATTTCAAGTGGCTCATCTGCCTTAGTCTTCTCTTATTTTACTCACGCATCGGGAAGAATTGAAGGACAGATTCTGTGCCTTTTGATCCGGAGGCTAAATTCTATTTTCAATGGAGACCTTTTCTGGTGGCTTGAATGCTTGGCTACTCATTTTATCAGTGTGTCCCTGTTTCAATGGACTCAAGTACTGCAACACACATCAGACGAACAAGTTTGGGAGTTTGGGTGCCTGTTGACTGATGAGATATGTGTGTGTGTGTGTGTGTGTGTGTGTGTGTGTGTGTGTGTGTTTGCTTACTTTTTACAAACAGAGAAACTACTCTCTGTATACAATAAGCCAAACTGTCTCTGTTCTCCTGTTCTTTTCCTTCTTCTTTCTTTAAACATCTTGAATAATATTTGGCTAAGATTCCAGGTCCATCTTATTTTTTGGTGAAATGTGTTATGTGTCAGGAAGGACCATATGCCTATGGTCAGGACACCACTCAGGAGCAACCTGCTTCTCCTTATATACATTAACTTATGAGTATTTGTTACTGAACCCGATTTCCGAGCTGGGCCTCATAAAACTGGCTAAGCTAAGACCAAAATAATGTCATTTAGCATCTAGGGGAGGTTCAAGAGAGGATTAGAGGGAGGCGGGCAGGCAGGGTATATTAAGCAAGTCCATGACTAACAGGGTGTGACAGCACAGAGTTTTATTCTTTTCAGCAAAACAATTCCCTACGGCTGGGACCATTACTCCACTGTGCCTTTATCACCTTGGAATTTTTATGGTTATTTTTGATGAATTCACATTTTTGTAAAGCCCTTTTTGAAATCATGCCAGTTTTCCAATTTTTAATTAAAGTCGTAAATAATCTTAATTCTGCCTTAAAAGGTTTATTGTTTCTTTTTTTCTTAACTATTGATGCCAGGAAATATTTCAAATACCAAGTCCTGACGTGAGTGAGCAATTAGAAGCTCTCTAAGGTCTAGTGACAACATTGTACCGTGTAAATGTAACACACTGGGATATCGGCATGCAATTTAACAGCATGGAAGGGCTGATTTGGGGTTTATCAGCAGCTGCCTCTCTTGGGAGTGACACAGCCTCTTTTTGTTACATGAAGCAACATTCATCCTTTTAATGTCATGAATTAGCCATCACAGATTTAGAAAGGGTTTTGAAAAGTAAACACTGTACATTTGTTACTGAGGGCGAGCCAAAAAGTTAGAGCATGTCAACCAAGTCCGATCCAACCATTTGCACAATAGAGCAGGATGAAAGCAAAGCCATGAGAGCGGGGATACTTCACTGTCCTAAAGTCAGAACTAACGAAGGGCTGCAGTGTCTGACATGAGAGCATCAGACTGCTCAAAGGCCCCCTGTTCTTACCTAGACTGCCTGCTGAAGGCTGCAGGAGAACTATAAATACAGTCATACCTTACAGTCTCAATGCTTTCCCTTTTCAATTAGTGCTTCAATAAGATGCCCACAACCAAAGCTACTCTCCCTTTATAGGAGGCTAAAACACCCTTATTACAGTGAAAGCATTTAACAATTTCTAAACACCCAGTGTGTGTCCAAGCCTGTGAACATAATAACTGTTGTCTCTATAGGTGACCAATATTCTTCCATGCCTTGACAGTAGGCTCAGTGGAGGTGTGCTCATCTTACTGATAAGCTGGATGTTATTAGTAGAATCCCAATTATTAGGGACAACTTAGAGGTAGAGAATGGTCAGATTTACAATGAAAACTCTTTTTTGCTAAATGAATAATTTATTCCTTTGAATTTTATAAGCTATAGACAATGATAAAGCCAATAGACAATAACTCTGCTCAAGGATTTGATTGTGAGAATGTGTTATTTTAAAACGAGGCATTGCTTTTTCAATTTTATTTACATTAAATAAAATTCTTTTGCCTTTCTAACTTCAAATCATACCTACCCCATGCCAAATGATTCTGGATAACAATTTATTTTATGAAGAAATTCAAATCTACTTCTAGAGAAAAAAATATTTTAATTATTGATTTATAAGATTATTTTTGTAAGTAGTTAAGTGTATCTGTCATGTCCTTGTAGCTGAGTGGTTTTCTTTCTCAAAAGGAAGACTTGGTTTAAGGACTCTCTGTGTATAAGCCCCCAGCTGGCACTCACGCTAGAACCTCCAGACAGAAAAACTTCAATGTCGAAAAAACTACAGAGGATTTTTCAACCCCTAACGTCAAATGACAAAAAACGATGGAAAAAAATGTACAATGTTGATGAGATGCCACAGCGACCCAAATACCCTAGCACTAAAAACACCAAGTTAATGCAGCATGTTTCTTTGATGGACCGACCATCCTACTATGTTCTAAAGTTTAAAAAGCGTGGGTGCTGGACAGAGCTCAGTGGAGGAAGTGATTGTTGTTGGATCACAAGGACCAGAGCTCAGTCTGAGTGACAAGCCACATATGGTGGCCTGCACTTGTGCATTCACTGCTTGAGAGGTGGGTGTAAAAGCAAGTGGACAGCTCCTGAGGAACTTCCTAAGCTCCTAAGGCGACTTCCAGACTCCACCAATAGGTGTGTACACTCTTGTAATCCACCTATACAAGAATATGCATATGCAGCCACACTGTCAAACTAAGTTATGAAATTACTTAAACGATAGCAAATTCCCTGTCTCAAAAGGTTTGGAAGGCCAGTCTGGCCAGTCAATTGGGGTACAGTATGAAATCCACAAAGGCAAATGACCTCAGACATTTATTCCAAATCTCTAACACGGTAATATTTCCAGATTTTGAAAGCTGCATTCCCTCACTGATGTCAAGGCCAAGTTCAGTACTTTGTCCCCCCTACTCCCGACCCCTGATTTCATACATAGTACCTATCCACTAGCTTTCCTCAAGCCAACCATGGGGAATGGTCTCCTTCGATCCAAGAGACTCACCCAAGTTCTTCATTAGAGTGGAAATTATTTGAGCTACCTGATACTTTTATGAAAAAGGATTTCTCTCCAGAAAGAGCATCCAGAAATTTCCATAAAAGCTTTTTGTTATTAACATTTCCTGGGATTGGTGGCTGGCATTAATTTTCTCCAATTTTAATATACAAGCTTCCACAAAAATTTTACATGTAGTAGCTATGCCAACTACAACCTTATTGAGGCCTCAGGGAAGACCTCTCTCCTCAGTATCCAGCATAGGACATCTTCAAACTCAAAGGATTCCAATGCCACACAGAAACTCTGTACACTGCAAGAATAATTCAAACATGCTTTACCTAGCTGGAAAACTCTCTTTGAAAATTTACCTTTTTCCTTGCTTGCTGCTCTTTGGAAGAATGTGCCTTCACGTGCTTTCTTAGGGAGCTTGGATCTGTGTAGCGTTTTGTACATCCTGGAATTTGACAAGCATAAGGTTTCTGAACGAGAAAGAGAAAAAGAAAGAGTGGGCTGTGGTTAAACTTTAAAGGCATCAGGGTCACGCTGTATTGAGATTGCTCACAGAAAGAACTGTTACCAAAGGACAAATTTCAAGTGCTGGGTAATACTCATGCATTTTAATTAGAACACCCAGGAATTCTGCGTCATAAAGATGAGAAGAATAAACTTTAAAAATCCCCCACAGCGATGTCCTATCCTTGATTTTTAAGAGGTTACCGTACACTGCAGTGTAACCATAAAAGTCTCTCGTGGAATTTTTTAATGTCCAAGTTAATACTTACATACTTACAATTATGTTTCCCTGAGAAAATCTTTGGTACTGTCAGAAATAGTAAATAGATTCTTTAAGGGTTCAGGTAAAGAAGCTGTAGAAAAGTCCAAAAAAGACTGGGTACGGTTCAGAGGGTAGGTACCTGATTCAGAAAGAGAGGGAAAGAATTAAGAAGGAAAAATTAGTGTAAAGTGAACAAGAAATAGGAGGTCTCAAACAACAGACAAATTAACACTTGGCCAGAGGAACAGTAATATTAGTTTCACAGAGAAGTGAAGTCTGAGGCTGAGTGAATGAACCGATGGCTAAAGGACAAGGGTGCAAATCTGTTCATTCCAGTTCCCTGTGACAGCAGAGTGGCATGAGGTATATGAAAATGTGAGAGAGGCCTCCAAGTACTTGGCATCTAAGAAGTGAATGCAAGACCAAGGGGAGAGGGGGAGAGCACCTCAAATCCATTCTGATACCCACATTGTCACCTACTACTGATAAAGTTCTTATCAAAGCTTTGGAGACAATGACTTTGGTTTGCAAGCTAAACCAAAATCTCCCGAATTTAGAAACACAAAACTAAAACAGGATCAATTGTATATGCCAGATGAATTATCATCTACCACGAGAACTGAGACCTGGGTCTGTATGCTATGAGAAAGATCTGAATTCTTCTCTTGATGCATTCTTGCTCTGGAAGCCTGCTATGCCATGGACAAGAGTGTGCCATGGCTACCTTTACTCTGTCAGGCTCCAGTTTTCATGTGCCTATGGTCTTCTGGGTAGACATGTGGATGTTCCTATTTGGTTACTGGAAGCAATAGTTAGAGTTCACTAACATTTTGGCATTTTTCACTTCAAGAACAAGATAGAATCATGACATATCCTTTAATTTGAAATCCTCAATTTGAATATTGGATGTGATTACTCATTGATTGCTCTTGACTAATTCTGATTTATTTATTTATTGATTGATTGATTGAATTACCTAAAATTGTGTAAGATTCATGGAAGTATGACCATTCACAAAACAAAACTGTCTTGAGAAATTGTTCCAGCTAACCAGTTCCCTGATGTTTCAGAGCTTCCAGAATGTGCTGCTCACTGCATTGAGTTGTAAGAAACTTAACAATAAATGTTGGAAGAAGAGGAACGAGGCCCTTACTTCACCTTTTTAAACCGTGAGCAATTACTGGCGAAAGTCACTTGCTGAGAGGTTTCTATGGTGGAACAAAGACTTTGTTTTAACCTGGGAATCCTTTCTGGTTTCACAGGCTTTCTTGAACTAGCCTTCTCTACCCTGCATTCATCTCAGAGCAGTAAGCAGCCCACTATCCATCCCTATTAGTAGTTTCAACAGAAGCACACACACTCATGTCTCTGACCATGAGAGCATGCTTCAGGGAAGAAGTATTATGTACACTGGTGTGCTCTAGAAATCTATGCTGCTCTGAATAGAGCTGGAAATTTTACGTTTGATTTGAGGGACTCTTGGAGAAAGCTTGACTGTACTCAGTCCTCACAACTGGCCTTGAGCCCTCCCCACTGTGTCTGCCAGCAGGGACCAGGATACTCAAACAGCTCTCAGGCTCGGGTGTCAACAGTGGTGTCCCCATCATTTAGCTCTGATTATCCAAGCTTAAAATGGCACGCTACACGTCATCAGAAAAGGTATTTAATTATTTTCCAGCTGTCCTGAGTAATTACTTCCCTTGTTTAGATTTTAGATGTTAGTAGAGAAATTGTACTAAGAAAAATTTCAGGGTTATTATAATGAACTCAATAATCTTTGTGGGAAAACCATTTTCCTGAATAAAGAATCTGTTTAGTTGAAAAGATATTTTAATCCAAAAATCCTGACAGCTTTTGTATAAGGCATGATTAGTGGAAAGGAACCTAAATTTAAGTTATAAATTCTTTAAACAGATACAGTTTGCTTTGGAAAACTAGCGATTGATTTCAATACGCTCTTAAAAGTTTAACATTTATTAAAGAAAATAAACATTTAAATAGGAGATACCTTGGATCTTAAAGAAAAAAACGACAGTTTAGCAAGTGTAATAGAGAAAATCTTTTTTAAAAGACAAAAGTCAAAATCATTACCATAGGCAGCTTTATTTAAAAGTTTTTTTTAAGGGCTATATATTTTTAATGGTCTAACTACTATATAAAATGTTTTGTGTGATTAGCTAAAATTAACACCAAAGAAGGGTATTGTAGAAAAACATCAGGTTTCCTCAAGGACAGCTCTGAAACTACAGGGAAATGGTTAGCTGGAACAATTTCTCAAGACAATTTTGCTTTAGGAATGGTGACACTTCCATGATATGGTTCAATGACAAACTGGAAAATATGCTGGATTAGACCAAGGCCATACAACACAATCTGACACTTTAACATAATTGTTCCTTATTTTTACATGTTGAGAATTTTGGCATTTTTCGTATATTTATCTAGTAGTCCTGAACAGATCAATCAATTCAACTTGGCTCAAGCAGAAAGGGTGTGTTTTCTTTGCTCATATTTTGCTAACTATGTTCCCGGTATTTACCAGACAAACCATCACATTTATACATATATATTAGGAGATAATTCTGTTTAGAAAGGTTAGATGACATACAAAGCTAAAATGACTTCAACAAATATGACTAATAGAAACTAATATAAAAAAGGTAATAAATATGTCAACTGTAACATCAGAAGAAATCTTAAATATGTATGAGAAGGTGTGTGGAAATAATAGTATCTTTTCAAAATTCAAACTCTGGTGTAGTTTAATAATAGACATCAGAACGTTAACACTGAGAAAGTACTGTCATGAATACATTATTTGCAAGAACGTGGGATAAGAGATCCATGATGTGTATAATACATTTATCCCAACGGCTTTGTTAAGTGAAGTGAAATTACACAGCATCTACCTGGCCTCCTGTAAAGAAAATGGCTTCAAAGCTCAGGGATGCAAAGGAGTGTTAGCAACATAATGGGAGGAAATAAAAAGACAAAAGTTACATAGACAGCATTTGCAAGGAGCAAAATGTAGCAGCATTAAGAGAGTTAAGGGTGTGAAAATAAAACTCAATTGTTCTCATAAGGTTGATATAAAAGGATGTGTGTCTGTTAACACAGAAAACGCATGTATGAAATGAACTCGGAGAAAGTGCTGCTCTTTCTTTTTAGATGAATTGGAGGTGAAAATAACAGATGGTTTCTAAAGCAAAAGACCAGATTCATGCTCAACACCATGCTGGCTGAAAAGCTAGGTCCAGAGGAAAAAAACAGGGTCAATGCATAAACATTGTACTTCATATTCTTTTCAACTGCACACATTGTCTATTTTGGTATAGCCTGATATATTGATAATCGCTTTCATTATATCTAGTGGCCATTTTTGTATGCCAATATCTACTGTATGATAGCCCTTGAACTGCTTTCTACAGAGAAGGGACTAAATAACCCCTTGGCCCTAGAAAGTTCTGATCTATAGCATAACTGACAACTAAAATATAAAAAATAAACCAGCCACACAGAGCAGCCCTGTGGACACTTGACTGTGTTTTGCTGCTGTGCTTGGCACTGCCCTCAGTGACCTTAAGACCAGCAAGCAAACACCTGCGACATCCTACCATCAGAAGGGCCCTTTGGCACACACAGCTGAGGCTGGAAGGTGGCCAGCCCCTGCCATCCTTACAGTGTCAAGATGTGTCCTCTGGTGCTTGGCACGATCACTGGAATTGCTGAAGGCCTTCTGGCAGCCTGGGTGCTGGCACAGGTATGGTTTCTCACCCGTGTGACTCCGTAAGTGAATCTTGAGGTTCTCAAGCCTGGAAAAGGCTTTCTTGCAGCCTTCAAACTGCAAAAAGAAAACAAGTTTTAGTTACTGAGTAGGACCCAAATGCCTGAGACGAGGGAAGAAAAACAACCGTTAGTTCGTACTTAGCTAACTGTAAGATAAAATTAAATCCAAACACTAACAAATATTGCTTCTAAAAATATCCATATGTTTATGTGAATTGTATCTTTCCCACAGCATATACATGCCACGTTCCATACCAGATTTTGGTCCAAACTGATTTCTGTGATAACTTATGTCAGAGAATATTCACTGTGAGCCATCTGGCTCAATCAATAGAAACATAGTAGTGTGTATCTTGAAGATTTATTAAAAAATTAACACACTTTTTGAATTTGCAAGTTGGTCTACATAGAAGGGACCATGAAGGAATAAAGTTTTCAACAACAACAACAACAACAAAACTAACAAGAAAAATTAAAGTGATCTATGACAGAAAAAGAAGGCAGAAAAGGTCTAAGAATACAGGATGGGAAAGGCAGGTACCTACTATATATGGTCAATCAGACATGTCCCTGAATGTTTGTCTAGTTTTCGCAACTTCCAAATGAGTGGCTACTGTCAACATGTAAGGTAATGCCAAGTTGGGTAGTGTTCAAAATGCTGTTTTAAAGATAACTAGGAGACAGAGAATTCACTTAGTGCTAATTCATTTCAAATAAAGGAACTACTACTTACTATTATTCTTGTTATTATTAAATTTATTATTGTTTATTTTAAAAATTTGCATTTCCTAGCTATGAATAAGAGAAAGATAAAAGGTTGATGGGTTTTTTTACGTATGTTTGTAGTTTGTTAATAATACCATTAATTTAATGACTTCTTCAGGGAAATTATCAACTATTATTATAGGGTCAAAATGATGCTAACATTTAAAGTGACAGTAAGAAAAGATATCAAGAAAGCCTGTAGGTGATGGAATTTTTATTTTTCGAGGGATGTAGCAGGAATAAGGCAGACAGACATGGATACAAGTAGGACAGTATGAGAATGGCTGTTTCCACTCAAAGTTAGTCAACACTACTCATGTTCTGCAAAAGCTTTGATTCCTTCGCTCACGAGGGCTCTGGTTGGGAAGGTTTCAGTAGTTGGAAATTTCATCCGTAAGTAAAGGATGAACTAAGTAGAAAGAATAGTCGACTATGTCACAACAACCCATCTATTTAAGTTGATCACATTCTGCATGCTGGAGTATTTTAAGAAATTTATAAAAGTTGCACTTATTTTTGATTGAGAGTTATACATGTCTCAGGGACATATGTTGGTTTATTTCAATTTCGATATTTTGCTTAAAATAATTTTCGGTGTTTTCCTGACTTCTATTTCACATTAAAAAAAAAAAAACTTTAGCCTGAACGAAGGAAGAATGCTGACAAGGCTGACGACTTTTTCACAGCCAAGTATATAATAACAACACATTGCTGGGGGGTGGGGGTGACTCTGGAATTTACGGGCCTTGTTTCTGCAAATTTTCAAATAGATCTCACGTTAAAGATCAAAGAGTTCTAAATTAACTCCTAATTCATAGCTAAGAGGCCTCTGCCAAGCAAACGTCTGCTTTTAAGGTTCACTCTGAATGAAGAATCAGAGCAAAGTCTTGGAGCCCAGTTTATTTTGCTTGGAATCACCTAGCAGAGTGCACTTAGGTCTGAAATGAGCTTGTGGTTTTGGCCATGCTGAGCCTGTAGCCTCATTCCTAGCAAGGCTCTTTTGTAGGGCAGATGTCTTTCTGGGGCTAGCTCCAGTGAGATATACCCAGAATTAGGTGGTTCCAATCTCTCATCCTTTCTACAATTACCTCAACTCTTAAATAGAAAGCTTCATTGTTTTGACATCAACGTGAGAGTGGAGGCTAGTGACAGCTCAAGGAACAGGCTTTTTAGTGTTTGCCAGATACATAGGACACTTCCCCCATGTCATGAGAAAGCCAGCTATGTGGTGGTATGATTCCAATTGTCCATGTGCTCACATATGAGGTACGTGAAGCTAGCAATTCCTCATCCTTTCTATTCAATGTCCATTTAATGTTTGCTTAGGATTGATCGGATTGCTATTATTAACACAATTAATAATGATGATGATGATGATGGTCTGGCATTCCAAGTTAATCAGTCAGGGTCAGAATACCCTAACTACATGAAGAAGGAAAGTCGAAGGATAACATGGGCATTCAGATGGAATGTGACAGCAAAGAAAGACAATCTGAAAAAATAACAAAAATCTAGATTGTATGTGAGGTTCCCTCTGTAACAAGGGTGGCCAGAAGAGAGAAGCACCGCAGTATCTTCTGGGGAAACAACTAAAGAAAGGGTGTGAGTTCATGGAACTATTTGTATGGAGGCAGTCCTCAGAAGGCAGTTTCATGGACGCAGGAGCTCCTAACAGACACCTGTCATTCACTGTCTTTGCAAAAACATCTTTGAGGAATCAATAGACCCAGGTCCTCGAGGACTGGCAGATGGCTGGGAGAGCCATCTAACACCCAATGGGTCAGAGTCACCTGAATGAACTTTTCAGAGGATTCTCGAAGGGGAAGGAGCTGCGGTGCCATTTGCTTCTCTAATAGCATCTGGATGGAACTTGAAAGTGAACAATTGTATAATGAAGTGTTATCATCCATTATGGGAATAACCCTGTAATTCTGCAACAAGAATTTCTTCTCCCTTGGGCAGTTTCAGCCCTACGTTCACAAGTTCTGTTAAAGGTAAATGCTTTAAAAATAAGCTAACATTTGAGCAGGATAACAAGAAATAATTTCCCAAATAGCTAAAAGTGGATTCTTGGAGAGTTTGGGAAAATAGTTGTCTCTTAGTCTTATCATCTTTCGTGACTTTTACATAGCTATTGAAGGTGGTGAACCCTGTAGATGAACACCTGAATATAGGAAGTCAGAGCATTAGGAATATTTCCTGGGTCTGAGTCACAGGTTTTCTCAGTGTGGTTCCCACAGCTCAAGATATACCCAGAGAGCTAAGATATACACTGCTCTGTATCCCTGCTGTGGTTCAATGCCTGCAAAGCTTCAGTCTCTGTCTCAGGTCCTCTCCTTCCTGAATTGGCTCTGAGATCATAAAACCAAAGACTAGTAACTCATAACTGAATCACAGGTCCTGATTTGTCCTTAACTCAAAAGCAGATATAATTCAGAAAGATCAAGAAAACCAAATCACAGTCACACTTAAAAGTTCAAAAGGGAAGAAGGAGGAATAAAATTAAGACTTAAAAAATAGAGAGAGAGGAAAAGAAAAACACAAACAGAGCAATGAACAGCAGGGTTGGGAGAGCAGACATGGGATCTGGTGTTCACTGAATAGTTAGTTGGTCAATGCTAAATATTTTCTCTTTGTCATTAATTTGATCTAAATAGCATCTGCCCCCTGAACAAACCCATATGAGCATGGTCCACAGCTAAGAGGTAAAAATGAATAAAACTCAACGTCTCCTCATGCAAAGATGAGGGGAGCCAAAGATGGCACGTACGCCTGGGCAGGGTACACACTAGCAGGTTACACACTGAGGAGGATACACACTAGCAGGTTACACACTGGGACAGCTATATTCTGAGCAAAGGCCCTCAGAGCCATGATGCCCAGGTCAGAATCAGTATCCTCAGAGTAACTGCCAGGAGGATGGGTTTTCTGACCTGACCCCAGAACCTAAACTCTAGGGCTAGAGCCTGTCTGCATGAGTGGGAGTCACTGTTCTAGATATGTTCTCCATTTCCTTATGCAAATCACATGACAGGAGTTTCGGAGTTCACTATTTCTACTTCAGGCGCAGTCATCTGAACTTGTATAGCAGCAGTTACACTAGGACTTAAAAGGACCATCACCTGTGCAAGGTAGGGTAGGGTAACCATCATTCATAAGCAACCAAGACAAAACTCCCAGAATGCCAAGCTCTCACTAGAGATTCTCTCAACTCACAGCTTTCAAATCTGCTACCAGGTAGATGTCTGGTTCTAAAATAGGCATGCCCGCCAGTTCTTTTCATGACCACCTGACCAGTAAACACCCCACACCATAACTGCCCAACGACAGTCTCCAGTTGAGGAAAAGCACTGGGAGGGAGGGACATTTTCCATCTGTGTGTTTCAGTGGAATTGCAGACATGTAGGAGAACAGTGCATGAAACTTTCTGAAACAGAACTTTAAATCTCATGGGCCTTGAAAATACTTCATGTTATAAAGCCTCATTCTAAGAAAAATCTCTTCAATGCTGGTTTTAAGTAACAAACTTTAATTAGACATTTTCAAGTTCTCTTGGACTTAAAGAACTTCAGCTTGCACCGCTTTGCTAATTTAGAAAATTATTTCATATTTAAAGAATCAGACTGGACTGCAATCATCATCAATATATATCGGCTTGATTACAGATTGTTGACATTCAGTGACATTCAGATGACCTTTGAAATATTACTTTCTCTTTCTATTAGAAGCTTTTGTGTAAGGTTCTAGAAATGAAAGGCTCATTAGACACGATTAAAATGGGATTTATTCCATATGTGTAACCAATAATCAAGTCGAATATTATCCCCTCCTCTAATCAGCTACTTGGAGTGCCAAGAAGTACAAGTTTGTATTCAAAGCAGTAATAAAAGTGAACCTACTCTATCAGGTTTCTATACCATTGCTAGTATCAACAAAACCCAAACAGAAAGAAGTCTATGACGCTGGAAAACTTTTTTAAAATATAGATTTGATTTCAATTAAGGTTTGGTGTTTACGACCCTTGGAGGTACACACTTTTACAATTCCACCAGTCAAGACCAATTAATCCCATCAGTGTTGGTTGCCACTGTGATATGCAGTAAGAATTGGCAGATAAATTAGGTACTAGTTTGTATCTCAACACACCATCTCAAAACAATAGAGATGAGAGGCTTCCATGGAGAAGTCAGCAAACATTTCTGATGCCCTAGCTACACTCATGGTGACTTCTATAGTTAAGTCTAGGAAGTCAAGACCCCTTAGATTAATTGCTTCCTTCAAAGGGTGTAA